GACTAAGGGTGGTTTGTCATTAAATGATTGTTTGAGTACAGGGTCAAGTTTGACACAACAAATTCCTCCGTTACTAAACAGATTTAGATGGGCTGACAAAGGAGTAACATCCAACATCAAAGAAGCATTCTTGCAGATATGTGTAAATCCTGTAGACAGAGCTGTGTTGCGATTCTTGTGGTGGAAGGATACTGAAAGCTCAACTATTGTCGAATATAGACACTGACGTGTCATTTTTGGGATAACTACATCACCTTTCTTACTGAATGAAACGATACTGCATTATCTTGGCCAAGAAAAATTTAAAAGTGAAGATATGGTTTTCATAAGGAGCAAATTAGAAGATGGATTTTACGGGGATAACTTGGTTACTAGTATTGAAGATGAAGATCAGTTTCAACTTCTGAAGAGACAGGCAATTGAGATAATGGCGGCTGGATGTTTTGATTTACGATGCTGGTTTTCTTCAGTTGCTTCAGAAGATTCAAAATTCAACTAAGTCAGTACTAGGACTTAAGTGGAATTGTAAGACAGATGAAATCTCATGTGTTTCTCCCAAAACATTGGTTGACCTAAGTCTATCTCCAACAAAAAGAACTTTACTTTCGGTAGTAAACAGCGTATACGATCCAATAGGATTTTCTAGCTCTACAATGCTGATTCCAAAATTAATTTTGCAACAGTCTTGGAGAAGAGAATTAAATTTGGACGAAGAAATTCCTAAGGATCTTAAAGTGAGGTTTCATAGTTGGGCAAGACAACTTAGTCTTATTGAACAATGATCTGTTCAAAGAAGAATGTGTCGAGGAAATCTCGTCGATGTAACTTTACGCATTTCGTTAGATACATCATTGTTTGTTTATGCTTGTTGTGCATTCTTACGATGTGAAGGGGAAGTTTTCATCAATATGGTGGCCGCGAAATCCAGAGTGATGTCAATTAACCGTCCAACGATTCCCAGAGTGGAATTATTAGTAGCTGCCACCGTTGCTTGGTTATATAAGTATAAGGATTTCTGTAGTTGCCTCTTGGAAACTTTCTTTTGGAGTGACTCTATGGTTGCGTTAGTTGGGATTAAGAAACAAGAACCTTGGAATACCTTGTCGAGAATAGAGTAAAGGAAATAAGAGAGCTGACGGATATCAGCGCATGGAGACATATACCTGGAGAAGTAAGCCCTGCAGATCTACCATCTCGTTCCTGTAATTGGTCCTACCGTTTCAAACACAAATGGTCGAATGTTCCTTTGTAATTACGAGAAGATGAAGAGTAATGGTTGGAAACGAACTTGTCGTGTCCGGAGGAAGCACTGAAAGAATGCAGGAAGATAGTGACGAGCGCAGCAGATATACAGAAAAAAAGTTGTAAGTCAAAGATTCTCATACTGTTCGAAATACCCAATGATAGTCCGGATGTTTGCGTGGATTCTCCGTTTCTGCGTCAATTCTCGTGAAGTTCAAGAGAAGATTGAAGGCACGGTGTTGAGTGGAGAATTTCAAAGTGCTGAACAATGTTTAATAAGATGATTCAACGCAAGTGGTCGGAGAAGGTCAGGAAGAAGTATGAAACTTCAATGAAATTTTATGAAGACGAAGGTGTACTGAGAGTCAAAACTCGCCTAAAGCTTGGTGAAGATAACGAGGATTTTTAATACCCATTGCTCTACCTGATCATTAAATAACTCGACGTTTAATTGAGTATATGCATAAGACACTAAACCCTGCTGGAGTATAGACAATTCTAGGACATTTCAGAGAAATATTTTGGGTCCCTAGGGGACGGAGGATTATCAGGGAAGTGATTTCTAAGTGTATTCCCTGCAAGAGATATTCTGTGAAACATGCGACAACAGAGCGTGCCCCATTACCAGCTGATCGTGTTCAGAGAGTGACTGCCTTTAAAGTGCCCGGTCCAGATTTCGCTGGCCCAGTATTTCCGCGAGGAGGTATCAAGGCTTGGATCATATTGTTTACCTGTGCTGTGTATCTTGCTGAGCATCTTGAGCTGTTCACGTGTTTGTCAACTGATGCCTTTACTCAAGCATTGCGAAGATTCATCGCTACTAGAGGCAGATGCAATGTCATTTATACAGTCCAAGGAACAAATTTTCTGGGTAAATCAAGAACACTGTAAAATGTGGACTGGGAAGCTGTTCAAACCAACTGTGCAGCACGACAAATTAAGTTGAATTTTGACCCTTTAAGTGCATCTTGGTGGATAGTGGGAGTGTTTCAATAGAGTGCTAAAGGAACGTTTAAAGAAAAATGTAGACAAAGTCTCAATTACGTAGAGATGCTTTCAATGTTGGCTGACTGCGAAAGTACCATAAAGCAAAGACCTCTAACTTACACACCTGAGGATCCTGAAGAACTAAAACCTTTGACCACTGCCCATTTTTTGCGTAAAGTTGCTCCAACATTAAATTGTGACACAATTGATTTAGATCTAATTGACAGCATCCACTTACGAAAGTGATTATGATAATTTCAAAAGGTTCGTGAGAGCTGTTGTAAGAGGCTCCAGAGAGAATATCCATCTGCGTTTTTGAAAAATCCTGAAGATAAACATCGTTCCAAATTGGAGATAGGTACCATCCCAGATAGCAATATAAGGTTTTTTTCACCCAACAAAAACCTTTTCATGTAAACCTTAAAAGGGTTTTTATACGGTTTACATGTAAACCCTCTAACCTTAAAACGAGGTCTGCGACAATCTGCTCTATTCTACGCACATTACCCTAATCCAAAACCTTGGAAAACAACCTTAAACCGAGGTTGTCTTAGGGTTTTCACGTGGAAAAAAAACCTTGAATAACGCTAGTTCTAAGATGAAAATCATCCTAAATCTACATAATTATAAGGTTTCCGTTTGCAGCGTTTCGTATGCTCAGCTGAAATCTACCTTGTCATGAGATTTTCATTGACAATGCAATTTAATGCTGTTGCTAGTGTACGTCAGCTAAAACGTCATTCTGAACGTGATGTCATCTCTCCCACGATTGTATGACAGCGCGTTTTATTATTTGTTTTATATTTTTCTTCTTATAGCTTCTCAGTCCGAGGTAAATTCTCCTTTCCATCAATTTTGCTTGATTATTTTGGGGGAAATAGTCATTTTTAATCAGTCTAACTTACTTTGCTGTAAGAACTGAGCGAAAAAATTCCAAATATTTCTTCTTTGAGCTAAAAAAGAATGTTTGCATATTTCCCTACGTATAAGA